AATTTCACCGCAGTTAACATCCTTTGGAAACCAAAATTTGTGTGAACAATATGTGATCTATTTGCGTCGGAGGTTTAGTTGTAGGATGCACATCAACTATGCATGTGGCCCGGGGTTTGATCCCCGGTCAACGCACGTTTGAGCCTAGCTAAGCCGGTAAAGAGGGAAGGTTAAGTGGGAGGCTACTAAAACTTCAAAGTTCCAGCTTGAAGCTCTATGTTTCACTTGGAACATTAAGGAATAACAAAAATAAAGTGAAAATGTGTGAACCATTTGATACTATATAAGGGATGATCAGGAAAGCAAGCATAAAGACACCATTTTATATACTACTGATCAATTGATTGATATGAGTAGTAGTTTGATACCCCTTACTCACATCACTATGGCAGACTGGAGTATACAACAGACAGTGGATAATGATATACACTGGACTGGTGTAAAGATCCAGACTCCGTAAACGACTTATGTTTCATATCTCAAAAAAAGCCGAATACTTTTTACAGGCAAAAACCAACAAGTTCTTTGCACAAGACAAGATTTCATTCAAGTAAATATCACAGAAAGGGCAAAGGTGATGAAAATAGCTAACCAACTAACTAACCAACCAACATCAGAGAAACCTAAAGGATATTAAAGCCAGCCAGAAGCAGGAGCAAGAGAGGCGTTTTTTAATCTGAAATCAAGAGTGTGAAGGAAATCTACACTGTGTTATATATGTACACATATATAACGCTTTCATCATGTGTTTGAATAAAGCAAGAACAACAGTAGTTTGTGCAGAATAAGATAGTACCATCACTGCTTATTTCCTTGGCTCGTCATCACATGCATTAAAGCTTAAAGAAATCATTCAGTTTACGTACAGAACAATTTTAACACACTAGCGAATGTTAAATGATGTCAGTTGACAGGATGCTCCAAACTTCTTAATGAACACTACTCAGAAAATTAAACTTACGCAGAGGGTTCAAGTCTAAACAAAAATTAATGCGCGCATAAAGTGGTAGAGAAGTTAAGTAATAAAGACAAGACGTGAGTAAGATGATGAGTAACTAATAAACTGAGCAACAATGTAGTGAGTTCCACTCAGACCACAGAAACAAGAGACAAGCAAAGTTACACTATATAGAATATAGGGGGGAGTAGAGGTTAAGACAGGTGATTACGTAACCAAATGGAAGAAAGAGAGAGATAGACAGCAGAGACATCCAGTTATCAGGTCGGTAAGGAACGACTGATAACTACTTCTTTCTCAGCAGACATAAATCGAGTTTTAAGCATTTGATAGTGATTGCTTTAGAAAACTTTAGAAGAATTGAACTATTTTGTCTATGGATAATTTCAAAGGATTTCGCGATGTGCACTTCGGATTGATGAGATGTGTGGTTATGCCATTACTGTAAGCATTTGTTCTCTTGGGACATAGGGAAGTAAAATGAAACTATCATCTTATTGGGCATTAACTGTTGTTTTTGCTATTCATTCAAATTCCTAAAGGGAATAAATTTATGAAACTTTCATTATGCTTCAACCAGATAACAAAGGCACATCATTTTATTGAAAAATGAACTAAAAGTCAGAAACCAAAAACAAAAAAAAACTCACAAAAGTGTAAGCGCATACACTTTTACAAACACATCCACACAGAGAGAATAAATAGAACAGGTAGGTAGGTATGTGATACATACAAAATATCTTCAAAAATAGGACTACAACTCACTCGCTCACACAGATAGACACAAAACACAACACAAAATACAGCAGACTGCAATAAATAAATCAGTTTTTAATTTTGTTTTTCGACTGTATTTTTATTTACGCATAAAAACAAAGAAACAGAACAAAGAATTAAGAAATACTGTACTATATATATATATATATATATATATATGAATGTGAATATATATGTAGTTTAACTGTACCACAATTGAAGATGAGACGAGACACAAAAAGGGACCAACTGTGATAGAATTTATACAATTTACAAGTAAAGAAAAAAGCGGAACAGAGAAAAACAGCCAAAAAAACAATAACGAAATATACACATGATTTCATAGACTATTGATCAACGCAGGTTTTCTCATGAAGTATGCAAGATGAGCGATATATAGTGTGTGTGTGTGAAGCGGGAGTCTCTTCTAGTTTAACGAAGGTACGGTATCAGATTAGGATCCCGGAAAGTGTTTAAGCCAATGAGCTAAGAGATAATACATAAGATTAAATATTCAGGTGGAGAGTAGGTAGACTTCGGTCTCTCTTCCCCTCTCACTATCTCGAAATCCTCTCATATACCCATACGTCCATAGCCTTCATGACTTCACGTGGCTTGAAGGTGGGTGTTCTTCAGGAAAAATGTGGAAGAGCGAATTCGGTTGTCTAGTAATTACAACCGGATTGATCGAGGGATATCTTGATCGATGTAGACGCGGCCTGAAAAACCCTCATTGCTTCGAAACCTATGGTGGTTTGTGTGTACATGGGCTTCAGAATTCTAAAGGATCAAATGACGTATGAACCTGTCTTCAGAACACAGTAGCTCCTGAAACTGACTCATTACACTGCCTTCAGGTCAAAGGCTCGTGGGTGGGGTGGTCTCTTTAGACAGCCATCTACTTTAGTCTAGGCGTCAGGGCAGCATTCCAGCATGCATCTTGATGCGGATAATATAACAAGTTTACATTTCAACAATAATAATAATAATACAGAATTCAGTACGTATTCAGTCTAGTTCACAATTATCAAAAAAGTCAGACCCAAACATGCTTTACCCACAAGTCAAAAACATCACACCATATTCAATATTAACCTTATTTAGTAGAATGACTTATGAGTCACTGGATAGTCCCTCTCTCTCTCTCTCACTTTCTCTTCTCTTCCCTGCTTCATTCATGAGTAGACAGAAAGAAATTTTAAACAGTCACTCAGTCAATCAAAAACTCCATTCATAAATCTGGTGTAGAATATGATAAGTACTACTAAAAGTGTGAAAAAACCCGACTGCAAACAATCACTCAGTCAATCAATCAGACTTGGAAACCAGAATTAGTCATTAGAATAATAGGAATGTGTCATTATTACAAGTGGTACTCTGTATAATGCTGTTAGTACTAACTTGAGAAGACAAATAAATAACACCAAGGTAAGAGTAAACAGTGGTTAAAAACAAACAAAAAATAACAATAAATAGAAGTAGTAGTGGTTGATCTTGTTGTTTTAGTGAAAGTGGTCGATATTACCTACCTACCTAGCTATCCAACTGTTTATCTATCTAGCTATCTAGCCTAACTCCAACTCAAAGAAACCACTGATGCTAACTGACGAAAATCCTGTTAATCATATCTGTGGTGTAGGCGGGGTTAATATCCGACTGGCTATCGATGAAAAGACGTGGCTCTGAGTGAAAAGAATATTGGATTTTCTTGAATCAGATATGTTTATATCATATCTCTTGTGTATTAAGGGGTGATAAATATGGCGTGCAACATTGAAGTAATTACGTATGGAGTGTAAGGAGCAGGGGAAGTCAATCGATGAGGTTGTGGAGCGCTAAATCAATTGAGATATCTGGGATATATGTTACACATCCAAAGACATCCTTTGTTAAAGAACTGAAGACTGCGATGCAAAAGGATTAGAGGTGGTGAAATCAACACCTGGCATCAATCTGTCCATGACAGTTAGTTTGAGCCAGCCACATAAGGAAGTGTAGACTGACTGACTGGGTGGTAGGGGTTCTTGCGATGCTAAGAATCACCAAAGGCTGGAGACTACTGGTGATAATATTTCGTTCTATTCTTTGCAATCTCTTAGTTTTAGCTGGCTACACGCTTGCTTACAAGCTCTCATATATATATATATATATATATATATCAGGAAGGAATTGAGAAAGGTGATATCTGTTCAGAAGTCAACTTTTCAACAATTATACTCGGATATTTGCAGCTCAGAGCTTAGTAGAATGGCAGTTGAATCCCTAAATCAACTTCAGAGACTTTGGAAAGGCGTCCGACAACATCGACTATGAAGTCATTCGCAAACTGTCTCAAAACTACGGATTGTAGTGCTGCAAAGCATTTAAAAAACTCATTCAACAGCACCATGATAATGCCACATGTCAAGATTAATTCACAGCGTAAAATTCAACGAAGCTTTTGAAGTAAAAAGAGGAATGAGACAAAATCTGCTATCACTACTGAGGATTTTCCTGATTATGGTGGCGGCTAAATTATGCAGCAGACCTGGGACAGACAAACAGAAAGATTTACAAGCGAAAACCACCAAGTTGGTGGGAGCGAGTGAGTTGACAGGACTTCAAATGAATATACTGTATAGACCAGCAACAATAGAAATCCTATACTTACAACTAGGCAATATAGACAGTTTCAACTACAGGCGGTGGCACGGATGAGGATATCGAAGCCAGTCAAGATTAGACATTGGAAGCAAGACAGGCATTCATTGCTCTGAAATCGGTGTTGATGTCTATAACACTAAGTATAAGGAAAAAGATCCGAATTTTCAACACTCATGTCAAACCAGTCAGTGTGCTTTCGTATGATGCAGAGTCTTGACTACTCATATGTCACTAAAAGCATTTTCCCAACGGAATAACAGTGCAGGTTTTCATTAACTTTTCCTTTTTGCTACCCGAATACTGAAGATTATATTGCTGGCCAGAAAGATAGTTAATGAGCCTACAATCTATAGGTTGGACGTGTCCCCCAGAAATAAACAGAAGGAAATGATGAAGGCTTGTCGGGTAGTCATGAAGCCAGCTGGATATGAGCCTAATGAAGATGAACCTCGGCTGAAGTCGACTTGGAATATCCAGGAAAGTGAAAGAAACGACTTTGTCCTGGTTGTTAATCGGATATCCTCATTCTCACTATTTTCTCTAGGTTTACTCGTCAAAATCCAGATCTACTCATGAAAATATATATTAACACATTACATATAATAATAATTATTATGACAAAAAGTTGACAAGTATGACTTACTAACAACATAAGCTACTAAATTGCTTGGAAGACGTGCACGTCGTGATCCACCACGACCTAATACCGTTGAATTCGCCATCTGATCCCGAGTGAACAGACATGCCATCAATGCACATGTGGCACGTGTCCATTCATTTGTCTCAATATAATACTTCCATTGACGACTAGCCATAACATCAGCATTTGTTGTAAGCTAGAATATAGATAAAATATATCAAATGAGGTGGGGGTTAAATATCCATTATTGAGTCATGAAGAAGACGAAAAAGAAAGCCGATCTTAGGGGAAAAAAACAAATTCTTTCTTTGTCGATGGTTTGACTGTTTCAGTGCCGGTGACAATCCAATAGGATTGTTCCAAAATGTCAATAGATTTTTTTAATCATCAGTTAGTAGTCAGTTGTTCTTCGACTCAAAACGGTCTTAAGCAAATGAATCCCCCCAAAGGTTAAATAGTTACACGTCACTTTCAGAAACAAACGTCATTTACATGAAGTGGTTTGTTCCCTTGATTCTTTATGTTTTAGAAAACATGAAAGGTGAAACCAACTAGAATGTTAAATATACTCGATTATGTCTTACTTCTGGTCATTCCATATCTAAAAATATATTTTGTCTAACATTCTAATGTAAGGAAGTGAACAGAATCTGATATCATTTTGAGTCTCCACCTTTACGCTATGTTAACTCTTGTAGTATTCTACCTATTCTTCATTACTCTCCGCTATAATCTTTCGTAGGTTACTTAAAAAAGACTTAGTTACCCTGAAGTCACTAAAATATTTCAGTAAGGCGAGTGAGGTGGTGCGCTACACCTACTCGATAATACTGTTGTGAACAGATAACTATTGGATTCATGCAGGCAATTGGTGAATATCAATCTTGTCCGATAGACTCTGAACACCTCTATACACAACTCTCCCCGCTAGCATCTCACCAGGTGGCCAAGACAGAAGAAGCAATCATCAAAAACTTTGTATTCGTGAGTACAACTAAGCATGGAAACTCCACGATAGATTATTTATCAGGTATGCACTTTAGGTAATGAGAAAACTGTTAGGTATGAAACTATTAAATTACTGTGAAACACGAAGTAAATGATTCCTTTTATTTTGTCTATCATTAATATGTCGCTGTCAATATTTCTATAAAATTTTAATTCCACAGTCATATTCCTGAAGTTATTATGAATGTAAATGTTCTGACAGTGTGTGTGCAGAGAATCTGCCTTAGTTCACTGTACTAGTAGACTTATTCTTTTGGGATGAAACACACTCAAAGAAGAAGTGATGAAGCATTCTTGAATAAAAACATACATGTAGCAGGTAAAAAGTCTTAGGTGCCTACATTTTCAAAAAATCAGTACTCCTAAGACTGCAATTCACGAGATATGTTAATAATAGTGAAACTGTGCCCCAACGTCTGGCAAAAGCTTTCAAAAGGATTCTTCAACACACTTAAGTAAAAAGCGGGTTTTTCATCAGCCAACTGAAATTTATTGATTTGATGACTACTCACAGTCCCATAAAATACTACTATGAACAGTCAATTTATTTCAATGTCGATTCCTTCGTGAACCAATTGGATGAATGTCCTGAAGATATGCTGATGATAAGTTGCGACCAGTGGGGTCTGCCATATCACTAGTGAAGTGGATGCTCATTGATCAGGTTTGTTGACAATGGTGGTAATGACACGATCATGTCACGAATTGACAGAAGTTAGGAATACTCACGGATCATTGAATTCCGACCCAAGCAGTTGGACGGTTAACGACCATGGCATTATAACCATTAGATCATGGGTAATTCAATCCCTGGTGGGGTGGGTGGTAGAACATCGATGAAGAGCGCCAAATTAGGATGAAAAAGAACTTTAGTGCTTGCTGATTTTCAATGGGGATTATACTGTTCTATTATTTTACCATCAAGCATCGGTTCCCAAATACTCAATTAGTTAGAATTTAGATTCTTTCCATACACTAAATTGTTATGAACTCATGCTAATTATGTGAAAACTTATAGTACTAGCTTGTTATTCAGGTTTTGCTTTGTAGGGACTTGACTGATTGGTTACAGGATTTCATCATGTGCTGACACTGGTTAGAGAACCGTCGGGAAACCTGGGAGTACTTGACAGCTGTTTCGTTCTAGTTTGGGACAGAAGTTAGAATTCATGGGCCATCAAATCGGGTCCCAGTGTTTCAATGGTCTATGACCTCACCTTGTAACCGGAAGGTCCTGGGTTCGAATCCCGGTGAGTGCGCGCTGATGGAGAGTCCCAAAGAAGGACGAAACAGTTGTCCAGTACTCCGAGGTTTTCCAATGGTTCTCTAACCGATATCAGCTAGTGATGAAATCCTGTAATTATCTCGTTAGTTGAAGATCTAGACCTCACTGATGATCTAGGTGTCACACTCAAAGATTTACAAGCGAAAACCAAAAAACAGGCAAAAGAAGCAGCGAAGACATGGCTTCAAGTGAACATAGAGAAGATAGAGGTTATGAAACAACCAGCAAATAACAATAAATCACTATCAGAGGAAAAAATTTGAAAGAAGTCACTTTCTGCCTTCACTTATCTGGTGAGGCAGAATCATTTCAACTGCAGACAACCACGTGGATTAGGATGTCAAAACCAGCCAGAGTCGGAAAGCCGAGTCACATCTATATCACTCTAAAATCAGTTTGGAAATCTTCTCCACTCCACCTCAGCATAAACAACAAAACTCGGATTCCGCTTAAAACTAATGTTAAGTCAGTCGGTCAGTTCTTCTATGTGGGTCACGAAAAGCATTGGGAACGGGCTGATGCAGACTTTTATCAACAGTCGCCTTTGTTAGCTCCAGAAAGAAAATCTGAAAGATAAAGATCCAAGCAAGAACCTACTGTTCGAAAAACATTCCGAAGAAAATGGATGGTTCGGATACACGCAGAGGAAATCGTTTAGTGAAATGAAACACCAAACAGGCCTTCTAGTGAAGCATGAATGGAAAACGACGAGTTGAGTATCTGACGGTGAAACGGAAAATATTGTCTGTGAAGGAGATGGGAGCCTATGGGCAATCGTGCAGTCACCTAAAGAGGAAGTAAGTCTACTTCAAACAAGCTGTGGATTTGACCGGCCTAAGGTATGCCGTGGGATCTCCGGTCAAGCAACACAATAATATTCCTTCTGTTTTAGGTACGCCAAGAAGAAGTCTATAGAGAGGGTTGATAAAACCTTTGTCTGTCCGGTTGGGTGATGCAGGCAATAAAAGTTCCTTCAAAGTTGAAGGTACACACCTGGACGATGAGAGCCAATAGACTCAAATAGGCCACTCCATTTGGTCACAGAGTGAGGAGAAGGTGAATGAAGATGATGATTAGGAAAGTATTTGAACTCTAATATTGATGGAAGTATGTGACATGAACTGCCTACACAGTGGAAGTTGACTTGTTGAATTACCTGACACAAAAACAAAAAATGAGACAACGTTTTGAGGCTAGAGACACATGATCTGCTTGGAATCGTTTTAAGAGTTATGAACGCTGAATAAGTCGGCATGTAACAGTCTTTAGGGTCGACTCCCAATGAGAATCAGAGAGACAATCGATGAGGTTATGAAGCCAGGTCGATTGAGAAGGGTTAAGAAATATGTTACGGAGGCTTAGACATTACATTCGTCGATAATAATAATGATAGCTTTACTCCAAACTCCAGTTTTCATACATCTTGCATCTAATTCCCTCACCACATTATACAGAGGAGAAATAATTAAGCAGAGCATTGAGACTGATAATACTTTTAAATAAGAAAATGAAAATTTAACTCGAAATATTAAGAAAAATATAATAATGGAAGAATAAAGAGAGTCATTTACTTATTGTAATTTTGTAGTGCTATGCCTTACATTTTTCCATGACGAGCAAAGTTAACTGACTTAGATACGATCAGCTTGGAAAAGCACTAGTGATGATGATGGTCAGACCAAAACTTGGCCGGTATCAGTCAATCAAATATCCGACAGTTGGTTTCAGACAGTCAGCCAGTCAGCCAGCCACGTAGGGATGTGTGGACTGCCTGACTGGTTGCAGTCCTCGAGATTCGAAGATCCAATGACGACTGGTGGGTGGTCGTATGCCTCAAATTCCTCCTTCTCATTCATAGCTCAGATGAATTCACACTTTGTGAGCAGCCATGTCCATTAGAACCCTATTGTTTCTCCATGTCACTATCCTTTCTCCCTCAAATTTATGCCTATTATCGTGCTTGTCAATCCCTTTTTTCTTCTCTTTTGTCTCCCTTTGTGTGGCACGGTACATGAGTTGTGGCAAGTTGAAGTGCTACTGCACTTCCATGCAGAGTTCTATGTTGAAACCAGTCAGTCAGTCAGTCACTACCACCATGTTAAAGTAGCAGTCACCGGTTCGAGCTGTAAAGCACAAATGCCAAGATCTACGCGGCTTTCGCTACCGATCACGCCCTTCAAAAGCCTTCACTAAGTACAATTTAAAGACAAGATCGGCTTTTAATCTAAGCAACTCAATCACAAAAATCCAATTTTAGCTGAAGTAAATAAGCGCTGTCGGAAGAAAAAACAAGCAATTAATATGATAATAAGAATAATACACTTCCTAAGTATTAACCAGGTTTTTTATAAACCATTGGAACAAGAAAATACATTATAAACACAATTACATAAAAATATTAAAGAAACGATTTCCATCCATTCACGATTCAACCGATAACAAAAAACTCAATCGGAATGCTTGTTAAAATTCGATACATTTTAAGCTGAAAATGAGCAAAACATAAAACAATGTCGTCGTATTTTTCCTCTCGGTAAAACGTTACAAAATCTTGTGAAAAAAGTTGGAAATCCGTGTTTTGAAGATAAGGATCACTTCTGAGCAAGATTTATTAGGAAATTCTTTTAGCTGGGGAAAATTGTATTCCTATAAAACACACTGGGGAAAATTATTCAATCTGGGTGGTTGGATAGCAAATAAAGAAAGGGATTGTGAGTGTGTGTATGGTTCGATAACAGAAAATATCTGGTAAACTCAGAACATCCAGTTCCATTCAATGAAAAGTCCTTCACAGTAATATACAAGATTTGATTAAACCTCTCTCTCCCGCAAATGGAGTAAGACCAAGGCATCTGGGCATATCTGAAGCATTAGCAATCAAAAAGTTCAAGCCAATTCTCTGA